CCGGGGGTGGCCTGGACGCCGCTGCGCGCAAGGCGTCATGTAACCCTTCGAGGGCTGGTCTCGGAGACCATAGGTCGAGGTCGGGCGAGCCGGGTGCCGCCTCTGGGGGACGCCAGTTGGGAGAAACCCAGAACCTCGGCCGCGCGGAGCGTGTGGAAAGTGGGCGGCCGGATCCAGCCGGCGAGAGCCCGTCGAGGGGTGCAGCCCGAATCCGAGACGCGCGGGAGCTGAGGGCTGGGTCTTTGCGGGCGAGATGAGGGTGTCAGTTCAACTGGCCTACAAAGTCCCAGTCCTCGGCTCCCAGGACCGACTCCTCCTCGCCCCAGGCCGGCGCGAGCTCAGCGCCCAGGTTGGGCAGGGACCCTGGCCGGGCGGCACCTCGCGGGTCCGCACTGGAGATGGGCTGGCTAAGCGCGCTCGCCGCGGGCTCTGTGCGGAGGTTCAAGGGATCCCTGCGCTTGCAGGAGCAATTGGAATGCGCTAGGTAATTCGAGTTAGTCCCTGCGTGCGGTTCGTGTCGTCCGAGTGGAGTCGGATCCCCGCCGCGGCCCACCTGGAGGGAGGGGAGAGAAGGCATCCCCCTCCCTAACCGACCGAGCTTCTGCGCCTACCAGGGCCCGCCCCGCTGCGCTTTCCGGAGCCACAACCTTGAGCTTAGGGGTGGTGAGGACCTCCCGAGGTCTAGAGTTCCTCCTGGGAATACGGGACGGGAAGTGGAGGTTTTGCCCCGTCCCCGCGCCCCACCACCATTTCTTTAAAGATGGATCTTGGTGGGTGTGTTCCTAATGGCTAGTCTTTTGTTCCCTGACATATGCAACATAATGCCTACGCGCCCCGAGTCCTCTTGGAGTTTTATGGTGAGATTCCCGTCTTAAACTCTTTATTCAATAACTTTGCTTCTACTTTCCTCCCGCAAAAGAAAAACCCCACCACCCCTGAAACCTCGGGTTTGCCTGGTGTTGGAACTTTCTGTTTGTTTTTGTTTGTATTGTGTTTTGGCTGTCTTGGGGCTGGGGGCCTTGGGAAAACATTTGGGAATACACAGTGAAGTGACCTGAACCGTGAGAAGGGCCAGTTTGACAAAATAGGGCACTTCGGGCCCCCTTCTTCCTGCCTTTGGGAAAACTGGAGAAGTTTCTAGAAGAAGGGGGGAGGGAGAGGGAGAAACCAGCCCAGCCAGGTTGGCCCACCTCTCTTGGAGTTGTGGAAGGCTTTTCCGACTTCTGTGGGCCAGTGTAGAGGAGACCTTTGCAGGGATCCTATCACACCTGTGGCTGTGTTCTCCTTGCGGTTAGGGGTCCCCAACAGAGGGGAGCCGAGTGTGAGTGTGCAGGGTCACTGAGGCAGGGTTGGGCCTGTGAGCCCAGGAGTGGGCTGGGCACAGCCCTGAACTGCAGTTGGCCGGCATTTTACCCGCGTGAGCTTTGTCCTGCGGGCTCTACCCAGTGGACCGTGCAGATGCCGGAATTGGGGGAGAAAAGAGTTTCATTGACTGTGCATCTGAATGTACAGATCTTGATGAATTCTCAGTTTTGAGGCAAAGTCTGAGTGGACTGGTGGGAGCCTTAACTTGAGGCTACCTTAATGAACGAAAATGCTCTGAACGAAAATGCTCTGTTAGGGGTACTGGATCAGGTTGGGAAAACGAAACTCTCCCTTTGAATGCATGCCTCTCCCGGTCCTGGGGATCAGTGTCTTAAAGTAAATGAAGTGGAAATCTCCAGAATATTGCGTGGTCATAAACACCCGTAGGACTGGTCTGGAGCAATGAGATGCTCAAAGCAGGCAGAGTTTAGCTTCTGGAGGAGACAGGCACAGGGATGAGGGGCATAAATCACTGGGAACAGGGCGTAAGGAGCCCGGCAGAGCTCCGGACCTCCCCTGGCCCAGCCCAGGTGGCCGGTGGTTTCCTCTCAGGCTGGGCCCCGTTCTCTGTGGCTGCCCAGGGGTTTAGGAGTTTTTAGGAAATGCCTTGGCACGTCTTTCTTTGGGGGGAAGTGAGTGATTAGGCTTTTCCTTCTTGGGATCTTTTTCCTTTGCAAGATGTAATTGAATCAGCTATGCCGGGGGCTGACCTGGCCTCCAGCAGCCGATTTGTGTTGTGATTTAAGTCGTGGTATTTAGGAATCGTGTTTTAGTTGAAACTTTTTTGATTTCGCTGCCCCTTTTGAATTCTCATAGTTTCCTTAAGCACGTGCCGCCTCCTCCTCCACCCTTACCCCAGTCCATCCCTCTAAGCGGGGTACCTTGCAACTTCGTGGGGGAAGTGGCTTAAGTGGCAGACTTGTTTGCCCTGGAGCCTTCTTCAGGAAGCAGCTAAATGCATGGTGGGAAGCTGGCGGGAGGCTAGGATTTTAGCCAGACCCCCAGAGAGACCCACGGAAGACTCCTAAAATCCAGCTGGTGCTGCCTACTGGGAGGAAACTTACATTCCCTCAACTCTTAAGTAAATTGCAACCTGGTGAATAATTAACCTCGCCCATTTAGCTTTTTTTTTTAAAGAAAAATAATATCCCAACCTGTGAAAGATTAGAGATCAATTTTTGTCCAGCTGGAGGAAGACTGGATTGATGAAGGAGTGTTGGGAGAAGCCGACCCTCTCACCTCCACCCCCAAGTCCTAGCAACTCTGGACATTCTGATCTTAGAAATCCCTCCAGGGTTTCTCTGGTGGCTGTTGAGGGGGGCGGTCTCTGAGCTGCCTCCCCAGGTTTCCTTCAATCCCTCTGCCCAAAGCCAGGGATTGTCTGAACCCTCAGGAACGGTCAGGATTCTGCCCTCCACTTTCTGTAGCGACAGCTTGGCTCTCTCACTTCTGCACTGAGTTGATTCTGCTGCCCCGCCAGTTTGCAGCTCTCTGCATGGGATGGTAAATATTTGGCCTGTCTGTCCTTTTACACAAAAGAACAGCACTCCTAATCAGGCAAGTCCGTAGAAGAATTGTCTCAGAAGCAAGGAATCCTTTTGGGGTCTATGAAGGGTTTTTCTCAAAGCGGCCCAGTGTGAGGGCCATGAAGGCAGATGTTGGGTCCAGATGGACTCCAGTTTAACTACCATTTGCCAGCTAGATGGCTTTTGGCAAGTAACGTCTCTGCCCATTTCTTCCCTGGTGGATGAGGGTTCTGAGACCTCCCTTGTAATGCTGCAGTGAGACTTAAAAATGCAGGCCCAGGGCCTGGCACACATCAGTAGACCTGTAACTGCTGGTCCTTGTCTCCTCGACCCTCTTATTTTGAATAAGCACATGGCCTTGGGCAAGTTTCTTAACCCACTGGGAACAGCAGCTTTGTAATCGTAAGGCAGGATGATGTTTGGGAACCTGGTTCCCTGTCCAAGTCTCAGGCCTCTCGGTTTCCACCAACCACATGCCAGGGACCGGACCTGGCTGGGGTTACAACCGTGGGTAAGACCCTGGCCACTCCAATTTGTACACCAGCTCTGAACGCAATTGAGGGGTATTATGAGTCCTCTGGTTGTTGCCGAGGCTGTGACTCTGAGGGGAAAGGCTCCCCCAGGGTCTCACAGCTGCCTCTGGTGCCACAGGAATGGGACGCCAAGGTGCAGTAGGGCCTCCCGGTTGGAACCAGCCATCATGAGCTGTGGAACAGGAGGTGGATGGGTCTGGATTAGCCACGTTCCTTAAAGGAACCCTGGGTGCGCAGAAGTGGCCACCTCGCACATCTGCTCAGCCATGCATCCAATCTGGAAGGACTTTCCAGACTCCATGGTTCAGGAAAGGCAGATTGCCACAGCTGCTCTTGGCCCACTCACGGACCAGCAGGCCAGCCAAACGCACTCCAGTGGGACCAGTCAAGCAGGGTACAAAATCGAAGGTCTGGGGGAGGGGGAAGGAAATCATATGATATTCCAAAAAGTGCTGCAGAGTAATCACCATGGGGAATAAAAATCAGTTTCTTCGGACTTCCTTATACTTTTTTTATGGCTTAGTGAGGTTTTTATTTTGAATTTCAAACTGGTGGTGGAGATGGACCCTAATCTCATCATTGCTTTAAAGCCTGCAGCCTCTATAGCCCTAACTGGCCCTGGGCAGGGTTTACAGGTGACTTCTCACCCACTGCTCGGCTCTCTCCCGCCCCTCTCTGGCAAGGTCTGGGGAATTTTGAAATTGCCCTGTAGCCAGACCCCTGGTGTTTGCTGCCCAGGAGAACTGGGGAAGGAGGTGCTATGTGGAAAGAACCATCATCTGATTTTAATCTCAGCTTTGCCACTCTGGGCCTGACAGCCCCCTTCTCTGTCAAGTAGGGGGCTGGCCCGAATACAGTGTACACCCCTTGTAGCCTCCACAGTCTTCTAAGGTCCTGAGCCAGGAGGCTCAGAGGCAGGCACCCAGTTGGAACATGGGGCTGTAGTCTGGAGGAGCAGGGGAAAGATTCAGAGGTGTGCAGCTGGGAAATTTGGATCAGTGCATGAAGCTTTCTGGTTCATTCTCATGAAATGTGCTTCCTCTCACTGGATTTCTGCCCTGGGGTGCATGGGGTTCAAGGAAAAATGCTGGTTTCTCCTTCTTGGTGCCTGAAGCTTAAATTCTAGTCTTCCCATTCTCATTCTCCAGATCTGCTGGAAGGTAGACCTCCTCCCCACCTTCTGAAAACCAATAAATTGCATTGCTGCTAATGTGTTCATCACATCACCCAGCTTTCCAGGAGGCTGAAGGCAGGCGTTGGGGAAAGGGTGTTAGCTTTGCAGGCTCTCCCGTGGACTAGCTGGGTGACTTTGGACCAGTGACATGCCTTGCCGAGACTCAGTTTCCCCACCTGTGGTGCTGCATGCCCACTCTGCAGTACGATGTGAGGATCACATGAAGATGCTTGTGTGAAACCCGGGGCGCGTGGCGGTGGTGGTGGGGAGTACATGGTAGAAAACTTTGGAAGAAAAGCAAGTCCTTGCTGTATATGAGGGTGGGGTTCCTGTTTCTTCAGGGAGATACACCTGGTACATTGAGAGAGGTAGGGGGGCAAAGTCACTGATTCTTCCAGGAGTGGGTTCATCTGATCACTTACTAGTGAGAGTCGGGATAATATTCTCTTGAATCCCTTCCTCTGGAGCTTACTGCTGTGAGCTTAAGAACATGGGGGGAAAAAGTTTTAAAAAAATGTGTCTTTGCTCTTGGAACTAATAGGGCGATGAAACAGATACTTGGAACCAGCACTTGCATATAAGCAAAATGTTGGTCTCCAGCTTGCCTGGCTGGACCACTGTATATCTGGGAAAAGTTAACCAGTCCACTTAGTCCCAGCTGGTTAGTGTAGAGGGTTCTCCCTCCCCCGGCCTGTGTCTCTCTTCCCCTGCCTCTCCTCCTCCTGTCTGGTGATACCAGGCATTTATTGTTGCCCAGGTCTGGGTGCACACGCTAACCTTGGCCAAATCGCTGAATATAAAAACATCTGGCAAAATATCACATTTCGACAATGGGCCTTTTTTCTGTAGAGCCGGGGATAGAGGGGGCAGTGTCAGGATGTTGGAAAACCACTTAAGCATTGACAGTGGAAGGGGGCAGGGTCCAGGGTCCTGACTTTGAATGTCAGGCATGGGGATAGAGCAGGGGGGCCACTCCCTAAAATAGAAGTAGGCCTCCGAACCACATCCCTCTTGTTTCCAGAACCCGAGTTGGGGAGGGGGCTGCAGCCAGCTTACCTTGGCACCCTCTGATCCTTTTGGTGGATTCTGTTGTAATTAGACAAGTCGTGACAAATATCCCATTGCCCTTTGGGCTGGGGAGCAGTGAGCAGTCCTGCCTGGAAACCCAGCCCCATTTGCTTGGGAGCCATAATTAAGCAAAAGAACAGTTCACGGGCCCTTGATTCAATAAAGACCCTTTTATGATGTTGGTTTTTCCCAGAAAAATAATACCACTTTGTCCTGTTTATTGCATTTAGATGTGTAATCATATTAGGGCTAAGCAGCCTGGGGGACCCAAGTTACGTAGTTGGGGTTTTCACCAAAGGCTGTTTACCCGGCCTTTAGAGAAAAGCAGTGCCTTTACGGAAAAGAAAAAAAAAAGACAAGGAACATTTTGGGGGATTTTCTCTCCGCATTTCAAAGACATTTTCTTCCGTCAGGGTGACAAGCGACCCAGGAAGAAAACCAGAAAGTGAAACTAACTCGACTGGCCGGTGTCAGTGCCGGCCCTGGAGACCACAACGGGGTGTGCCCAGCGCGGCCCCTCCCTTGTCGCTAACCGTATCTTTCAGTCTCGCGTGGCACGTGCCCGGCAGAGGGCTGGAGGAAGTGCCAGAGAGGTTGCGTGTGTCCTCTCCACCAGGAGTCGTGGTGTCCTAGCACGTCTCCATTGCCATGGCAGGGCTGCAGGCGCCGGTGTTTGCAGGTGGCTGTCCTCTGCCTCCCCAGGCCCCTCCCTGTGAGGGTAGTCAGCCCTGACTAAATATAGTCCTGGAGGTCAAGGCGGCTTTTGGTTTGTTAGAAGCGTTTGCCTGGCCCCGCCCACGCCCTGGCCCCGCCCACGCACTGGCCGCTCCTCCTTCCATATATTTGCATACAGAGAGCACTCATCAGCAGTCCCCCTCTCCACTCAACCATCCCCTCTTACCTCCTTACCCAGACCTTGTGTCAGGCAGGCTAAGAACGGTTTCCCAATCGCCAAGTAAAATCCCTCCTAGGAATCTGCCCGGTGCTGGGGTTAGGTAGGGATCACCAGGGTGTCCAGAATCTCTTTCTCAATTTGCAGTTTAGAAATCACAGGCGGTGAGGAAATTTCTGGGAGTCACTCGTAGGCATGTTCTATTAAGAAATAGAAGGGTGTATAACATTTCAGAACGCTAAAACTGTGTTGCATTAAAAAGAGGGGAAATCCATTTAATTCCAGGATATCTAATGGGAGTTATTGCTGAACTGTCTTTTCAGATATTATCCTTTAATGCATACAAACTGGTCCGTCTGTTTATGGATAATGCATATGAAAATATTCTTTCAGTGTCATGACTATCAAGGTTTGCTCTGTGTGTGTGTGTGTGTGTGTGTGTGTTTAACCTTATACTTTAGATTTCCTGAATATTTTATACTTTAGTATAAAGAAGATATAAGAAGTGCTCTTAAGTTTATACATAAATATATAAATATCTCCCCCCCCAAGTAAGTATAATTAGAACATCTGAAACCAGATTATCCAGTTACTACACTTTTCTAATTAGCTGTTAGGAATTTGCAATGAGATAGAATTCTTTTAGATTTCCAATGAAACTGGCCACAGGGAGGTCCCAAGGAAGTACACCAGGGTTAAAAATCATGGGTTTTCGGTTTTTACTACCACCCACCCACCTGCTACCCTCAAAACACCTAGTGTGCCTGCCCATCAGGCAGGAAAAGTGACCAGAAAAGAGTTTTGTTTTCCTTGTCCTGAGTAAATGGGGTTGGAGAAATTGTTTATGTTAGCTTCTCTCTGCTCCTGGCAGTGGAGCAGGCACCTGAAGGTGGGGTTCCAATACTACTTTTCTACAGTAGCAGTGTTAGTTTTCAGCAATAATGTTAGTAGCTGTTCTTTGGAGAAAAAATTCTGGGGCTCTGCATTCACTCAGTTGGTGTTTTCTGTGTGCCTTGGGTGTGCTTTCTGTGAAGGTGGTGGGGGTTGGGGGGGGCGGTGTACAGGGGTGAGGACCTCCAACCAGGACCAGGGAGTGACGCCGGCACTCAGCATTTGCACTTTGTAGCAGCTCCTGGTGTCGGCCCACAAGCCTTTATCCAAAATTCTGAACTCCAGAAAACTCTGAAAACCAAAAGCTGTGTTTATAGCTAATTTCGTGGGAAATCCTGACCTGAGCTGACTTGAGACTATTAGAGTGTATTTCTCTGAGGGAGTGTGGATCTTCATGGCTTTCTCTGCTGAGACGATAACGTGTGTGAGTACGGGTGCTGCCCTGATGCTCTGGTTACTGTGTTACCTTCCTACCACCTGAAGAGTTCTCAAACACGTGGGGCCTGAAGGTTTGGGGTGAGAGCTTGCAGCCCTGGCATAGGAGCAGCAGCTTCACAAAGATAGCAGGTGCCACGGCCTCGGAGCCCTTCCCTCCCCAGGCCTTGAGCTCCATGAAGGCTCAGCAGGTTTTGCTCACTGTCGGATCCTCCGTGCCCTGCTGGGTTCCTTGTGCAGACTAGGTGCTGGGTGAATACTGATCAGAAGCAGAGGGTCAGCCAGCTTTGTTCTTGAAGGCCGAGTAGTCCGTATTTTAGGTGTTGAGGGCCATGGGGTCTCTGTTGCAACTCGTGCTCTTCTGTCGTAGCGTGAAGGCAGCCATGGATATGTGTAAATGAATGAATGCCCATGTTTTGATAAAACTGCATAAACAGGTGTCGGGCCAGGTCTGGCCTGTGGGCACACAGTTGGCTGACCCCCCTGAGAAGGGTAAATGCCTCCTTAATCATAGACCCTTCCCCACCCTGTTAGCCCTGTTGTCTACGTGCATGGCTGCTGCTTTTCCTCCCCCAGTGGAGCCTCCTGTAAAGAGATAAAGGCACCCACCCTTGGCATTGGCCCCTCTGATGTTCTGGAAACGTGGCTGAAAGGAAGGAGCTTTGGACTGGCCTCTCTCGCAGGAGTGGGTGTTTGTGTGGACAAATGCGTTCGGGCTCTGGTCCAGCCTTGCTGAGGGGCACTTGCGCCTCCACCCACTGATGAGTTTTTTGGGGGCTGAGCCAACCCTGAGGCATGCTGGCCCTCAGCCTTGGGCCAGGCAGGGAGTTTGCGGGGCACAGGGAGTTTGCGGGGCATGGGGGGAGCTGAGGGTGTGAGAGTGAGTGTTTAGGAGCCGAGGTGTTCTTAGTAAAGATTTCTGGCACTTAGTACAGATTTCTGGCAGAGAGATGGGGGAACGTAAACCCAGGGGCTCTGATGCATGAGTCTCAGGCCTCTTGGCTGTGTTCATCCCAGCCCTCGAACGGCTAGCAGGGTGGATGGGGCCCGTGAGTCCAAGAAGGCTTTACCACTGCAGTGGGAGCTCAAATCCAGCCGAGCCCTCTGGCTCCCACTCCCATGGTGGGCTGGCCTGGACAGGATGGCTGGCTGGCTGGCGGGCAGCACCTTGCAGAGCCCATGCCCCTAAGCTGAGTGCTGGGAGCCACCAGCATGCCCCCGCTCGGCCCCTCCAGGCCCCCCAGCCAGCCCCTGCTGTAGGCTCTTCTCCCTGGCTGTACCCAGGTGCTTTGCTGTTGGCGGAGTGTGTGCGGGGCACCCCCAGAATATCCTAGAACTGCTGCCCTCTGCCTGACCACCTTCTTTCCTAGTCTGGGTGGGATTGGCACAGAATTTTCTTAACTTCATGTTTTATTTAAAAATTTTTTTCTTGTTTTAAAATTTGCATATATGTACTATTCATTGTTTCTAAGAACAGTTTAGAGCTTTAGCTTTTTTAAAACTTTTTTTATTGAGTTATAGTCATTTTACAATGTTATGTCAATTTCCAGTGTAAAGCACAATTTTTCAGTTATACATGAACATACATATATTCATTGTCACATTTCTTTTTCGCTGTGAGCTACCACAAGATCTTGTATAT